TTCTCTGACAGATGACAGAAAAGAAAGTAAAAAAAGTTGAAGTATGAAATGATTTGATGCTGTTAGTGGGTCGAGAGATGGGGAGGCATACATTCAAGGGCTGGAGAGTGACCTTGAGAAGTTGTGAGTGACACAGCTAAGAGTCAGTGAGGGACAGGTACCTCAGTGATACAATTGCAAGACCCCAGTAACCTGAATGATCTTGGATATGGATCCTTCCCCATAGTCTCCAGGTAAGAAAACAGTTGAGTTGAAACTTTGACTTCTGCCTATGAGATCCCAATGATAGAAACAAGTTAAGCTCCCCATATTTCCATCCTACAGAACTATGGACTAATAATTGAGTGCTTTTTTAAGCCACTAGAGTGTTATTACAGCAATAGAAAACTAAATACATTGTAAATGTTCCAATAAAAGAAAATATTATCCTTGGTATCCAGATGGATAGGCAGGGGAATTTGTCATCTGGAAGAGTCTGGCTATTTTCCAAAAGACCTCTCTGTGTGGAATCTACTGCCCTAGAGAATTGGCCATATTCAAGTCTCTGGATTCTCAAACGTGTAGACTCAAAAATATGTTTTTCCTTCATCTGCCCAGATAGATTCTCAGGAAAAGACTCACATTAATCAAACTCATGATGCTGATATATAAAACCAAATATCATGTAATGACTCACAGTGATACCAGAACCCTCAAGGGAACTAAAATGCAAATGTCAGCAAAACACCAGTCATTTGAGAAAACAAAAATTGTAATTTCTCTTATAGACAACATTTTGATAAGTGCTCTTAGAGTTAAAGCTTTGGGTACAAAATTTTTAATTCCTTGAGTGGAAATTCCTGGGACAAAGTGTAAATACATATTTAAGGCTTTTGATGTATGTTGCCAAAATGCTTTCCAGAAAGATGACACTTGTATATGATTTGCCTTGCAGAATAGAGAAGTGACATTTTTAATATTATTATTATTATTATTAGCATCATCATCATCATCAGTGGAGAAAGGAAATGTGGTATACATATACCACAATGGAATACTACTCATTGATCAAAAAGATAAACTCATGCCATTTGTGGGAGTATGGAAGGATTGAGAAGGGGTTATCTTAAGTGAATGAGCCAAACCAAGAAAGATAAACACTGCGTGGTTTCACTTACATTTGGGATATAGAGAAACAAAAAAATTAGAGAAATACATTTTCCCCAAAACTTCATTAATACTGGTGTTTATTTTTGAGCATTTGCCAACTTAAAATTAAGCAATCCTATGTCTTTGCTTTAATTGACAATTTTTTAACTGTAGAACATGATTTTTTTCATATTTTTATTGGTAACTTGTTTTCTTTTTTGAAGGAGCTGTTCATGCTCTTTGTCCATTTGCCTATTGGTTTGTCATTTTTATTCTAGCTTATTGGAATATCTCATGTATTAAAATATTAGCACTTAGATATGTATTTTGTAAATATCATTAAATTTGTTCTTTTCATTAGGATTTTACAATGGAATTTTCCCCTATTTTTAATGTTTGAATCTTTTATCAAGTCCTTTTTGATGACATGCTTAGAAAATGTTGCTTCAAGTTCACATAGTCATCCCTACCTATTTTCCTCCCACATTTGATGGCTTTATTTTTCCATTTAAATGTTTAATCCATCTGGCATTCATTTTACCATATGGTGTTAGTTAGGTAGGGATATAACTCTATTTTTTTCCAGATTGTGAGCCAGCTGTACCAACAGCATTTACAGAATAAGTCAAGAACATCTTGAGATCAACATCCAGAGTTCAAGCGAACAACAAGATTGACATTTGAGTATCTCCCACAGTGGCTGTGCCCCCTTCATTCTTCTGTGCCTAGTTTCCTCAAACATTCTCTTTTCTACTTAAAACCACTCCCAGGAAAAAAAATCTTATAAATTGATTCAATACAATCTCCAGGTTATGAGCACCTTGTGTAAGTAGACTTTAAGCCTGATTTCTAAGGATCACAAGACCGAATTTGCAGAGAGCTTATCTTCAAGAAGTGCATAGGTTAAAAAAGAAGAACTAGTATATAGTTCTTAGTAAGACACACAAGTAGAAGCAGCAAGAGCTTTTAGGAAAAGTAATAATACTAATATTTACAACTATTTTTGGATACTTCTTGTGTGCCTCTCGCTGAACTAAATCATTCATCTTCTTCTCATGTCACTTTCAAGACAATGTAGGCATTGCATTAATTCTCCTTTTTCACCACTCACTCTCCAGTTAGGAGATAAAGGGAGAAAATATTGCTGATCCTAAAATTGATGGGCATGATGCAAAGCTTAGTTCAAATCAACAGTCTTATAGAAAACATAAAAGTGAGCATACAGAGAAATTGTTTGGAGTAAATTGAGTGAGGGAAAAGATCTGTAAGTCATCTCCTCTGATGAGCCACAGCTTTGGATGACCTGCAGAGGTTAAATGCTGGACCCTGGACAACTACACAACATTCAAAGAATTGGCAGAGCTTGGTGGAGCCATTATTATTGATGTGTTAGGAACTTTTCCTTTGGTTGACTCATATGCTATCATTTGGAACAGACTTTTTGTTAAGACAGGAAGTCTCCTCTTGCTTAAGTGGCACATGATTGGGGCTATTTATTTGGGGGGTTTTGACCATTATACAAAGGGAAAAGATCAGCCTCATTAGTTAAAAAGAAAGGAAATGCAAACAATTTTAAGACTGAGATCTAGTTTCTTGACAACCAGTCAGTTATGTGATAAAAGAAGTACCCTGTGATTCTGGTTTGGGGAATATCTCTGGTTCAAGTATGGACCCATGGTTGAATGATGAGATCATCAGTGAAACATTGACACTCCTCATAATGGGAAGACAGAAGTAGACGGAAGGTAATGGACAGTTTTGTAACTGCTAGGTGTGAGGTGTGTGTAATCATTGGTGGAAATAGACATAGAGGCACAGTTAGAAATGGTCTTTAAAAAGACAGACCTTGGTTGGATATGTACTTGGTAGCATTATTATTCAGCCAAAATAAACCCTTGGGGAAAGAACGCAGCAAGAACAAACCACAGGAAACACAAAAAGTTAAATAAAAAGCAGAGAAAGTGTTCTTTCAAAGAAATAAAGGGGCCATGGAGAAATATTTTAAAATAAGAAATAGAACTAGGAAGGAAACAAATGGAAGTGAGAAATTTAAGAAGAAATAGAATTTTAAAAATTGCACTGACATTTAATCCATCCAAAAATATGTCCACCTCATTGTACACATAAATGTGAATTTCATGAATTTTATTTAAAAAGTAAAATATGACAGGCAATACTGAAAAAATTTTAGAAGAAAATGGCTTTATGAGTTGATACGTTGTGCTATAGTTTCCCGTGCAATGCCATGCAGACTAAAACAAAACATAAACGAGTCAGCATAATAATTATCAACATAGGAAACTCTCACAATCAGTGTGGAGGGAGTAAAGTTGCTGAGAAAGAAATACAGGATATCACTGGTGTTTATCTTGAAAACATGAAAAACTGCATCGCATTTTGTTTATGGTCACATATCAGTTAAATAAAAGTATAAAATAAGTCTGTGGGCTTGTACTGCATCAATTCTGCTGAGCTGAAATTAGATTTCCCAACATGTCTCTTCCTTTATGTTTCCAAATCAGGGTTGGTGACAAGAAATAGTTCAAATGATTAGAAAAGCAAGAGATGAAGCAGTCAGTTTACTCTGCAGGTCTGCGTGTGTGCTGGGAGCCACTGCTGTTCTCTTCTGCATGTCGTGTCTGACCATTGCTCTCCTTGGTGTGGAACAGCTATTCTCCAAGCTTCTCCAAGCCTGGAGCTACTCTGATGTCAATGCCAGGTGCAGGTGCAGCTCCTCAGGGAAGCGCACCGGCGCTTTCTGTGGCACTAGCATCATCAAGGCTGGAGTGCACTGCTGATGTGTGCTCCAGTTTGTCCCCATTCTACCCATTTCCATAGCTGCTGGTTTTCCTGCCTGCCAAAGATCTCAACAGCTCCTATCAAGGAGCTGTAATGGCTTCCGGCCCAGAGGCAGAAGCAACAGGTTTCCACTTCTTCAACAGTTCCCACAAGCATGTAGAATCTAATCTCTATCATTCCCTTGCTAGGGACCCCTCATGGTAGTTTTGCTTCTCTGGTAGAACACTAACTGATACAATGTTTGCATGTTAAATAACAACTATAGGTTCATGGTAGTCTCTAGGGATAAAGAGAAGAAAATGGATTGGCTGTAGGTCACCAAGGACTTCAATTTTATGTGTTCATCATTTATTTGTAGATTATAAAATTTTAGATTATAGTACATTAAATTCATAAATTTATGAAGTTGGATGAGTATATAGTAGTTGAATTAATAAAATGTGACATTGGGGAAATTATTCAAGTTTCTTCTTTTTAATTTCTCCATCTATAAAATAATAGGATTAAAGTACATTTATTTGTCTTCCATAAAAATTCTTGAGCCCCATCGTACATCATTGATTTACACCATAACAGGGAATAAAATCTGTTTCAAATATTTGCAGGCCCTCATAGAAGGAGTTCTGCTCTAACCTATGTTGGTTTTGAGAGCAATGGGCTTAATACAACATGAGATATAATTTCCTACCAATTAAAATTTCCCACCAAGAAAGATGATGATTTGAAAAATGATACCTTCTCTCTTCCTGGGATAATCCAGGCAAAAGACAGATGATTATTTAGCATGGCGGGGAGGGGAGGTATATGAAGAATTTACCAGCTTGGGAGAGTGTTCAAACTGGATGGCTTCTAATATTCCCTTGAACTTGAATTGGCTATGATTTAGCATAAATATTTTCCATTTAAACTATTAGTTTAGATGGTTACAAAAGAATAACTCTAGATCCAAATTTCAATTATAAAAGATATAGCATTACAGTTTGTAATAGTTGATCAGGGCATAAACAATTTCTTGCTTGTTAATTTGGACCTGTAGCCAGGAATAAATAGCACACAGTATGTGTAATGTAATCTTTAAAGTGTTTTATTGGAATAATTCTTAGGCCTCATACAGGGAAATGAAAAAATAAGAAATGTAAATGAACGTGATGTCAGACTGATGAAGCAAGTCTCCAGAGGTTCTTGGAAGTTAGAATGGATTTTAAAATTCATTATGATTGAATTAGAAAATAAATGAAAACCAGCAGGATTAAAGATGAGGTTGAGAGCAGGAAAAGAAAGTTCTTTGGATAGCCATGACAGGGAGCATGCAAGTCAAGGTCACTTCTAGGGCAAGGAGGAATTTTCTTCCAGGTTCTGCTGAGGGCACTGTGTTGGTCACTGAAATATAAAGGCACAATATTAATCTTGTTGAGATCATATTTTCAGGGATTAACTGACATATACAACTAAATGCAAATGTTAATAATCATCACTATAATACTATAATACAGTAGTAGCTAAAACCAATTAAGCATTAGTCACGGGCCAGATATGGTTCTAAGCACTTTACATATATAAACTCATTTCATTCTCATGCCAGCCCCATGAGGTAAACCTGTTAACAATACTTATTTAATAGATACTAAAAGGAAAGCGCAAATGGTTTAAGTAGCTTACTCAGGTTGCCCAGTTTGTAAGGGGCAGAGCCAGGATTTAAACTAAGTAGCTCTAAACCAGTCTGTGCTCCTGACAATATGCTTTATTTTCTTTCTGAGTGATGTTCTGTCAGGGCTAAGAAGCTTAGTGATTGCTACATTAAATAACTTTACAACTATTCCTATTGCTTTTTTTTTTTTAACAGTCTGCTGTTTAATAGATCTGAAAATAGATATTTCCAGTATATGGTAGAAAGAAGACAGAAACCATATAATTCACCACAGATTAAGATATAGACACATATGTCCGATAGTTTGGACCCTAAGAAATTTATGAATGATAAAATGTAGGCCTTTAACCCATTTCAATTTTATGTTAAAAATCCTTATTGGGTATCAAAACTGTACCCAGCATTGATTGCTAGGGAAGGGTTAGAAGGATAAAAAGGAGAGAGATTTATTGACCTTAAGAATTTAAGTTTTAACAGGTGATGTGAGTCAAGCACATGAATAATCATAGTATAGAGCAGGCTGTGCTTAGTGCCATAAAAGGGATACAAAATGCTAGAAAGTTAAGAGGAATGACATTTTTATTCAAAAGGAGGGTTAGGAAATTCTTCCTGGAGGAGGTGGCATCTTAAAGTCTACTGAGTGCTAGATACTATCTTGATAGGTGAGAATGACCAGAGAGTTAGACATTCTGACAAAGGAAATGGTAGAGTAAAAAACAAGAGTGGAAACTCAAAATGCATGCTTCATAATGAGTTAGTCATGTCAATAGTTTGGAAAAGTTGAAGATATGAATGGAAAAAGAGGGTTAGGCCACTCTAGAATGACCAATGGGGAGATAACTCAGAACTTCATGGGAAAAGGTCTCATTTCTGGAACCAGGGCTATCATATTTATCAATCACCCTTTATTCTGTCCCTTCCTCTTTCCTCCCTTCCTGCCTTTCTAACTTAAGCCAAGAGTGCCTGGCTAACAAAGCCCTAAATACCTCAGTTGATATTTTGTTTCCTGTGTTTTCTGGAGAAATATATAAAAGTCTCTCTCTGCTCAACGATAAACACAAACTTTGTAAATGTTCTTGTACATGGTGTATAAAATATGTCCATAATTAAATAGAATATATTATCTTAGAATTCAACTTTAATAATAATTTAATTATAATTTATAATTTTTAATATTATAATTTAATAATAATTTAATGATAATAATTCAGTTTAATAAATCTTTCCTAAGGACAACTATATACCCACAACATAAGAAGTTCTGAGAATCCTGAGATAGCTACATGAAAATTTGGGTCTTCCAGATGCTCACAAAGTGTGGTAAATAGACAGAAATGAGTTACTAAAACACAAAGGTATGATAGAGGGCTGAGAGGGAATGATGGAGGAAAGAGCTTCCTAGGTGACTTGCAAACTCAAGAGAAATTTGCTAGGCAGGAAAAGGGACTTCCTAGCAAAGGGAACAGCATTTGCAAAAACAGAAGAAGGAAGACCTAGCTTATTTGAGGAATAAGAAGTAACTGGGCCTGAGGCTGCAGAAAAGAGAGTGGCAAAGAATGTGACTGACAGGGAGGCCTGGTACCAGCATGAAAAAGACCCAGGATGCCACATGAGGGATGATGAGGCCTTGTGCTTGAGGCTATCAAAAATCAACAGAAAAAAAGGATAATGGACTTGATAATTCAGTTTTTAGGTAGATGATCTGGCAACAAGAAGGATAAAGTTGGACTAGGAAGGAAATGATAGCGATAAAAGTCAAGTTAAATGGTTATTGGGATAGTCCAGACCACACATGACAATGTCTGGAATTTTAAAACACAAATCAAGACATTTATTCAACATTAGTAAATACCCAGTAGTGTGCAAAAGACCTGATATTTACTAAAATATGACTCTTTCCTCTCATGAAAACCAGTGGTAAGTTTTGGTGTAAATTGGAACCGCGGAAATAATGGAAAATATTGAAGAAACAGTCTGCTATGCTCTAAAGGCTTCTAATTTCTAATGTGAGCATGTTGACAGTAGACACATTCATCTAAATAACAACTAACATGGACCTCCCTGGTGGTGAAAGGGGTTAAGACACAACCTATAAAGCTGTCCGCAGCCACTGCAGCACAAGTTCGATCCCCCAGTCGCCAGGGAGCAAAGCACATGGCACAGCAGAGATCTCCTGACTTGCCTGCCGCTCCTCTCAACAGTGTACTTCAGTCAATCTGTCTGTTCTGTTCCCCATTCTGTCTCCAGTGATTCCTTTCATCTCCTGCATCTCTGGCCTGTACCCCAGCTCTTGTATGCATAAATAAATAAATCTTTAAAAAAAAAAAAAAGAAAAGAACTAACATAAAAGCAACTTGGGAGTGGGAAGAAAAATACTGAGTTTAAGTGTTGAGGTGACATTGACCTTCAGATATTTCTGAGAATGATGGTATCTAAGAGACAGAAATACAAACAATTGCTATAAGCTGAGATGTGTACATTGGGACAATTGAGGTGGTACCTAAAATTATTGGCTTGAATCAAATCAACCAAGGAGAATCTCACAGTGGGAGCCTGAGATTCAAATCCTAAGGGATGCAATCATTGTTGAAATTATTGCAAAAATACATCCTTGAGATTAGCCGTGCATAGAGATGGAGAGGTTGAGAGTTACATGGGAACCAGGAAACCGAGGGTGGAAAAGACTCTCAGGGAGGAAGGAAAGCAAACACTGCCGGCGCTTTTGAAACATCCATCCAAAAAGAACAGCAGGATTGCTGGCTTCTAGCAGTTCCTGTGGTCCTTTGGCCTCCATGAAAAAAGCTGCTGAGGAATGAGGCAATGAATGAGGTTCCTTCCATCCAGGAGAAAACTGCAGGTAATAACTTGTAACCTCAAGTAGACATGATTCACAAATCTTGGTTAAGAAAAGAGGTAAGTGGGTCTCCCTGGTGGTGCAAGGGGTTAAGCACAGCACTATGAAGCTATCTGCAGCCTCTGAAGCAGGAGTTCCACCCCCGGCCAGCCAGCGAGCTACCCACATGGCTCAGCAGACCTCTCCTGTCTCCCCGCTGCTCCCCTCAGCAGTGTATTTCAGTAGATCCACCTCTTCTGTTCCCCATTCTGTCTCTGGTGAATCCTCTCACCCCCCACACCTCTGGCCTGTATCCCAGTTCTTGTGTGTATAAATAAATAAATCTTAAAAAAAAGAGTTAAGAAAGAAACTGGAATAACTTGAACAAAGAATAAGTTACAGCCGATAAGGGACTGACAGAAGCCCTGTTTGGAAGGCAAATGTTTTCTCACTTTTTTCTCTGAGGCCTTGTGTGTGAACTGCTTTGTCCTGGGCTTATGAAGAAATTTCTCAAGAAAAGATTTCTGTGGTAACAATACTTGAAGGGGATGATCCCATACCTTTAAAACAAAAAGTTGTAAATCAGTTACAGCAATAATTTTTTAATTACCTCATACCCACTATTGACACAAAATTTTAATTAGTGTAAATTAATATGAGAGCTGTTCACTGATTTCCACATGACTGCATTTACTAGAATCCTAAAATTACATTTACTTTTATTTAGTCAGCATATTTTGAATTTATATAAATTTCTGTGCAAACTATTATTAAATTAAAATATCCAGAAACACAATAATAATAACCAAAATAACAATTTTGGGGCATTTAAAATATGCCAAGTACAGTTCTAAGTTCCTTTATTTTATTTATCTTACCTCTCCTTACAAGAAGCCACAAATAAGTCCTGTTTTTATCTTTGTGTCTTGGGCACACAGAGAGGCTTGCTCCCCAACACCCTTCACTTAATAAGTTTTGGAATCAAACCCAGGCAGCATCAGATCCCCCATATCTAACCATCATACTTTCTTGACCCTTAGTCCTAAGTGGGTACTATTATGTAATAATAGTAAGAAGAAGAAATGTAAGAAGAAATGTAAGAAAAGGAATCTCAAACCATAGAGCCTTGTTCTTCCACTTCTGCCTTCACTTTCAGGAGTTTAATTTGTCCCCTATGCATTCAACTTGAACATTAAAAAAAGGACAATAGAGTCACTGGTGTACTTATACACGCGTTCAGACAAACTCAGACTTGGATATGTTTATCCTTCTGTTTAAGAAGTTCCTTAGCTACTCGGGCTCACTCTCTGGCTGGGAACTGAGAAAAGATCCAATTGGCATGAAAAGGTCATGGTCATCAGGCCATTGGGCAAGACATATATTTGGGGTATTTTAAAAATGCTTTCTGATTGTCAGAGTTAGAACTGAGATCCAGGGGAAAAGCAAAATTTATTTCTCATGAAACCCAGTCAAGACATTCATACAAAAAACACTGCAAAGAACAAAACTCTTCCTTTAGATTTGGGATGCAAGAGTTGAGAATGGTTCCATAATAAAATAAAACAAAGGGAGAGCTACTTTGCTCTCAGTTCATATTAAGTGGATGGGTTACAGTTTACAGCATGATTACACACATATTTTTTCAATTTCTTTATTATGGCTACGCAGAGCAGTACAGAATAATATAAAGTCAAAAAATGAAAAAACATGAAGCCAAAATTCTCCAGTGGAGCTGGAAAAATAAGCAAATAAATGTTTGTATGGACATAATGATGAGGAGGATTCAATGACTTTCTAAACTCTTCATGACTCTAAATGTAGAGAGAACTAAGAAATATAGGTATAATCAGCAATAAATATACCACTTAAAGTAATTCATAAACCTGACATCAAATTAGCATTGAACAAGATCTCATCTAAAAATACATTAACTCCATTTCACTGAGTGCTTAGTAAATAAATAAAAACATTTAATATTTTTAATTCAGAGAATGATATATCTATTGCCCCCCCTTTACACTAAACTTTTTGGAGAAATATCTAAACATACTCTTGGGAAAAAAGGAAAAAGACTCTTGGTATCTTCATGTGCACTAGGAGTTTAACATAGGCTGCCATTGTAGTCCTCACTACATCTCCTGAATTTATATGTCTCAATTTGCAAAAACCTAAAAACAAGCTTGGAATTAAAGAACTAGTCCAAGTTCACTGAACTAGCAAGTAGCAGAGCTGAGATTGGAAACCATTTTGTCTGACTCCAAAATTCCTTCCACTTCAAATGTTCCCTCTGTGAGTAATAAAAACCATGATCTCTCAAGATTTGGATATAATAGAAATTAAATAATAGATATTAAATAACAAAAAATTGAAGTCGGCTTTATAAGTGGATAATAGGAAATTTTTGTAATGTTCTTGTTTTATACTAAAAAATGAAACAAGTCATGGAATAAAAACTAATTTTATGTAAAAAAAAAAACATGTGATAGTCATGAGACTCACAGTGTTATTAAAAAAGCCACTAATTTTCCAAAAATCCTAGAGTTTGATTTATAATGGAAGGAATGAACATAGGTACTCCTTAATGGCATAGCATTATGATTATTCTACTAGTAAAATTTCTAAATAAGGTTACTGAAAAAAAATTCTATTTGTGAACACATTTAACATACAAGATGGGCAAAATGCATTCTCAATAAAAACTGTGTATAAGTTAAGATTTATATTGCAAGTAACAAATTCCTGACAAACTTTTAAATATTAAATGCAACATTTAATATTAGCTCATATAAAAAAAAAAAAAGATGAGATAATTAGTTTCAGGCAGGATTGGCTCCAGGGACTCGAAAGCTGTTACCCAGAACTTTGTTCTTAAGCCTGTCTGTTCTGATCTTTTTTTCATTCCCAACCTCCTCCTGAGGACCCTCACAGTTCTCCTTGTAGCAGAAATGCCTCCCATAGGTACAAACTCACCACCACAATTCATGTTACTGTGAGGAAAAATGATGGTCTCCTGTCCTACATTCCACAAAAGAGAGATAAATTATTGCTCATTGCGTTAGTTCTGGTTAGACTCCCTGTCCCCTGCTTCTACGATTAGGGGATAAAATGAAGGTATGGGTGTTAAGTATCCAGGGTTGCTACGCATTCCACTCCAAACACATGGATTCAGAATTGGAAGGGTTAGTTTCTCAAAGAAGAAATGGGAGCAATTAAAATGTTAAAGAAGGGTGTTTTGGTATCCTCTGAAAAATAAATGTCCAGTACAAGCTGAAAAGGTTTCCGGTCAAAACAATTACATGAATGTAGGTAATCTCACAGGCTGCAACAATACCTACAACAACAATAACAGTAATAATTAATTAGGTAATAGGTATGAATTGCCTATAAGTCAAAAGCTGAGCAATTTGCATGTTTTACTCAATTGAAACCTCACAGCTACCTACAAGATGGGTGTTATTACTAGACCTATGATTTAATAGATGAGGAAATAGATACGTAATTAATTTTCCAATTTAAAAAAAGGATGAAAGCCTGCATTATCTCTGTTAACTATGGAAGGGTGCCATCTAGAGGACAGAACATTTAAAGGACAATTGCTAGATAGGACATGCACAAGGCTAGATTCATTCGGGAAGTATTTATTGAGCACTTACTATGCATAGTTTTGGATTGGGCACTGGAAGCACTGTCTGAGTGCTGAGTTAAAGAAAAACCAATGGATGGGCCTCCCCTGGTGGCGCAGCGGTTGAGCGCTGGGCTGCGAAGCTGCCCGCAGCCTCTGCAGCACCGGTTCGATCCCCTGCCACCGTTGAGGGTACCACATGGTGCGACAGACCTCTCCTGCCGTGCCCGCTGCTCCCCTCAGCAGTGTATTTCCTCAATTTGCCTGCTCTGTTGCCTGCTCTGGCTTTGGTGAATTCTCTCACCCTCCCGCGCTTCTGACCATACCCGGTGCTTGTAAATAAATAAATAAATCTTTAAAAAAAAGAAAAAGAAAAACCAATGGTGACTCCAGTTTGTAAATAGAGTGCCTCATCTAGACTTCTCAAGGTGCCTCAAAGCCCACCAAACCTCTCCTGCCTCAGGGTCTTTTTGCATGCCATTCTTTCCATATTTTCTTTTTATCCATCAGTCTCTTCACAAACCTACTCATCTTTAATATGTACGGCCTATCCTTTATTGTCATTATCTAATAGCTAATACATAATGTCCGTGAACCATTGTTACCATCATGTCAATTTGCAGATATTATCACTATAAATTTAAGGTTGTTAATCACAACTGGGCTCTCTAGTCTACCTAGAATTATGCCAAGTCTTTCTATCAGTTTCTTTCCTTCTGCAAAAAGACTATACCAGTCTTCTCAAATTTGACCCGACCACCTTTTCTATTCTCAGCAAGCTACCCCATGTACTTCTTCATGAGAAAGTAAAAACCATTAGACAGAAACCTCCTTATATGTACTGTTAACTCTAAGGCCATGCAACGTGGTGGTCTTTAGAATCTTATTTTGTCATAAAACTCTCCCCTGAATCTTCTTGAAAAAACTCAAATAGGACCAACCTGGTTCATATACTTAAGATACATTAAGAGCTTAAAACAGAAAGTAAAAAATTAAAAACTCAGTTTTTCATGCTTTCTTTTTAATGGAAGAGTTATACAAATGTAAGAGAGTCCCCATTACTATCTACCACCTTATGTGCAGGGAATAGATTAAGCCAGCATGCGTAGAAGACAATGAAAGTTTAGAAACACAAATGAAAGAATACAAATAAGTTACTGCACAAATTTCCTAAGACTTTCCATTTCTTGGTTCCAGGCACTCTCTAAATCTGTTACATGCCTTCATTTCCTTGGAGGCATCCCTGTAATTTTATAATTAGTTCTGCTAGTTTGGGTTGATTTCTGTTACTTCTACCAAAAATTATAAATATAAAGCATTTACTTTATAATTGTTTCTGAAAAAATTTCTCCTTCCCTCATCTCCACTGCCAAGTCTGGTTCAAGTCATCATCATCTTTTAGTTGAAACACGATGACCTCCTAACTGGTTTTTCTACATGCCCTCCTGCTCCAGTCAAGTCTCCTGTTGGATCATTTGTAGATCATTTAATTCCACTACTTAACAAGGTTTTAATGGCTTCCCTTTGCTAATAAGCAAAAATGTAACGTAAACTACATAGGTGCAATGTTATCTAGCTCCTAATTACACAACAGCCTCATTTTACAACAATAGTCCCATTGCTCATTGCCCTTCAACAGACCCTGGAACTCACCAAGCAGACCCTGCTTGGATCTTTTGTCGTTGTGTTCTCTCTCCCTGACGTATCCTCCCACTCTTTCCACAGGTTAAGTTCACTCATCCTTCAGATGTTTCCTTAAATGATACCTAAACTTACAATAGTTTTCATTTTTCAAAAATCTGTCTTCCCTTAATTAGACTGTAAGTTTAATAGCTTGGTGACTATTTTTTCACCATAGTTGTATTTACAGAGTTTGGCACATGGTAGAAAATTAATAAATAATTGCCAGATGAAGGTATGAGTGAAGTACTGGATTAG